CAGGTAGTTGTACCAGGATTTCCTTGGGCCACCAACCAGCTTCCAAATCATGACATGGAAACATTATTAGTTATGAATGCTTGGCCTAGCTTAGGCTCATTTCTGGCTAGCTCTTTTAACTTAAATTAACCTGTTTCTCTTTATCTACCTTTTGTCTTGTGGCTTTTTACCTTTCTTTCTGTATGTCCTACTCTGTGTTTGCTGGCTGGTGGCCTGGCTGCTTGGCCCTGGGGCCATCTCCCTCTCTTTTTCCCTTATTCTCTCTTCCTTCTTCTCTCATTCTCCTATTTGTTCTCTCTCCCTGCCAGCCCCACCTATTCCTCTTCTGCCTAGTTCTTGGTCTATGCCTGTTGGGGCTGGCTGGGCCTAGAAGAGGTTGTTTGTTTTTGTCAGCAAAGCCCTGGATACCAGGGTATCAAGAAGACAGAAAACACAAAGGTACAGATCATTCACAAATGTATTTCCTGACTTTGAGAAGACATGGTCCTTCCCTTGGGAAATTTCAAGGCTAGTTGACAGGGCAGCCTTATGGGAAATAAGTAGTAGTAGAATTGATTACGAAGATTCTTCTCTCTCCAACTTCTTAATTAAACATTTATCTGCCCATTCATTAATTTGCTCATCCATCCACCCATTCATTCATTAATTCGTTCATTTATCCATTTATCCATTCATTCCTTCACTTGGCACTTATTTGATGATTGCCTCTGTGCCAGGCTTTGCTCACTGCTAGCGGGGAAAGCATAGAAAAGCTTCCCTGTAATAGTCATGGATTGGCATCTGGAAGGAACCCACTGGGATTTCCAGGTTCCTGTGTCCTGGAATAAGAACTGGACCAGGAACACATGGGATATCAGTAGAACAAGAGGCAGCTTATGAGGGAGAAAAGCCTTCCCAAGATCAGATGTGAGCTAGAGGGCAGGAACAGTTAGGAGCTCAGAGGTCCCCAGCCACAAGCCTCACAGCCCTCTGTGGGTCATTTACACAGCATGCACTTTCTCCCAAGTTTGTTCAGCACTCACTTTTCCTGGTCACGTTCTGTCTCTGACTCAGATCTTTAGGTTTTTTTTTTTTTTTTTCTCCATCAGTATTTTCTTTCCAGTGTTAATATGGATGGCCCCTTTTCTCTAGATCTTACTTGTGTGTCATAGTCTGTTCCTTGAAGCTTGTGTTCTTGTTGGGGAGACAATGAGAAAACAGATGCACAGAGAAGATGGGTTGCTACAGGGAGCTAAGCTACAGCTAAGGCAATGCAGGGAGACACAGTGTAGTTCAGGAAGTGGTCATGAATGGCTTCTCAGAGTGGGTCACATCCAAGTTGATCCTGGGTGGCAACATGGAGCCAATGAGGTAAGGACCTGGAGAAAGAAGGAGCATCTCGACACAGGCGCGGCAAGTGCAGAGGTCCTGAGGTTGGGCCAGGAGTTACCCATCTCAGACACAGTGGAAAGTGCCTTATGCTGGAACAAAGTGAGCCAGGAAGGTAAAATAGATGAAGTTGGAGAGGTGCACACATGACAGATTCTCCAGGCTAGGTTAAGAAGACTGGGTTTTATTCTGTGTGATGTCACTGAGCTGTCAGGGGTAACCTGAGCTGATGCTTGTTAGTCATGTGCTAATATGGGATGGATCCCATATTAGGGCAGGAGGGTAGGGACCAGTTGGAAATTGGATTGGCTAGGGGACAAGGCTAAGTGGCATGCCACTTCTGAATGCATAGTGGGCTGCCAGGTAGTGAAGGTACTGTGGTCCTGGGCCTCATGGAGTTACAGTGGACAGAGATGACTTCAGGGCTTCAGGCCACACAAGTAGCACATCCTCCCCTGTGCCAGCTTTGAGAGCCTCTTCTCCCAAATGAGACCCCTGGGTCCTCCAGGAGCGCAGTCAACTTTCCAGAAGAGCACAGCAAATCCTTGTGAAGTGGCTCTTCAGAGCCTCCTGAGTTCTTACAAGATCCTCTCTGTCTTCACATGCCAGGGCCACTCCTCACTTTGGCTGCACACAGGGCAGAAGGTTCTGGGCCTTGTACATGGCTCTTCACTGCCGTCTGTGTCCAGGGCACTCAGCAAGTTACTCTCCACAGGCAAGATGGCTGCCTGTAGAGCCGTTTGTACGTTCTTCTACACAGGGGCCTCCTTGGACCACCTGGATCTCACTGCTTCTTGGCAATCTAAGCCACGTAAAAACCAAACCTATAGGCCTAGCCAGAAGGCACTGTGACGTTGACTATATATATATATATAAAAAAAATGACGTCAAAAGAGAAGCAGGCATCCAGAAGGCCACAGGAGCTGCCACTGAGTGTCACACCTCCAAGATTTGACTTCTCATAGTTAATAAGCAGCCTCTCTGGAGTTGTTAACTGAGCAGTGTGGTCATTCCAAAAATAAGGTGTTTTCATTTTAAGGCATGGGCATTCCTTCTGGAATTTTGGTGTTTTCCTCTAGTCCCCCCATTTTAATGGGGTGCGTGTGTGCATGCACACACACACACACACACACACACACACACACACACACTTTTACAAATGTGAATGTGTAGGTATAATCAATGGCTTTTCCTCTCAGCCTATCCTGTCACTTTGAACTTGACTGTTCAGCCTCTCTGGAGTTGATTGAATAACATAGGCCACAGATACTGCTTAGCTTCTGAAAGGAAACAGCACCTCTCTCCCCAACTTCCCCAAACCCAGGCGGCTCAGCAAAGCATGCTGGGATGCTTTGTCCAAAAGGAAAGGTGTTGGTGGCTGGGACTTTGAAATTCCACCTGTTACACTGTGAACAACACCCTGTCCCAGCCAGCCCTCTTAGGGGACAATTTCTTTTTCCTTGAAAATTTTTTTTTAAGATTTCAGTTTACTTTTTATTTATGTATAAATAAATGAAATAAAATTTATGTATTATTGTTTGTTTATCTATTATCATGTGTGATTGGTGTGGTGGTGGTGGTATGTAGGTCAGAGGACAGCTTTCAGGTATCAGTTCTTTCTTCCCACTGTAGGTTTTAGGGGTTGAACTTGGGCCATCAGACTTGGGTGGCAAGTGTTTTTTCCAGCTAACCCATCTCACCAGCCTTTGGAAGATGATTTTTGCACAAAGTGGTTTCCAGGTGGCCAGAGGTCACTTTATTTGCTGATTTCCATCAGCACTGACACACCACTCACTTAAGCAAAGACTGGGCAGGGTGTGGTGAGAAAACTACTTGTCAACATGCAAAGAGGCTCTGAGGGATAGCATTCTTACTTCATCCCCTTTGGAACCAAGGAGACACGATGGTTAACTTCTGTCTTCCCTTTATGACGATGTACAGGAAGCAACATTGAATGATCCCAAAAGATCTGAGTTGTGTACTGGTACACAACCGTGTCTATTGTGTGTGTCGTCTGTGTCTCCTTTCACACTAGAGCGTCAGAATTAGTAGTTGGGACACAGACCTTGTGACCTAAAGTCTAGAGTATTTCACTAGCTGGGTTTCTGTAGAAAGACCTGTTGACCCTGCTCTGGGGAGTAGGGGAGGCAAGGACTGACATCCAGGAATGCCTCGTTGGAATCTGAAAAAGGGGGGTAACAACAGTCATATAGGCATTGTGGCCCCAGCTGTTGGCACCAGACCTTCCAGTGTTTACAAAACTGCCCAGCTCCTGGGGCATAAAGATCCCATCTCTGGCTTAGTAGATTCAAAATGGCTCTGGATTGGAAGTGACAACACCCAGGTTGTAGCCTTGGCTTAGTCTTAAGCTTGATGTGTGATGTTGACAGAGTTACTTTGGTTCTCGGGACCCCAATCAACCACCATAAGGACATAAAAACCTGTGTTGCTCACCATGTTAGATCTACATTGCCTGCCACACCATGGCTGTGTTGCCTGTCACATTTGATCTGTGTTGTCTACCATGCTGGATCTGTGCTGCCTACCATGTTGTATATACAGTGCTTAGCATGTTGAATTTGTGCCTGCTGCTGGTCACACTAGACCTGTGCCTCTCCCCATGTTGGATCTGTACTACCCACAGTGTTGGGTCTGTGCTACCTGCCATATTCGATGTATACTGGTGAGTGCAGAAGGCCAGGTCTATGCTCTTCTCCTGGGATACACTGCTCTGCTCAGTTTCCTTTGCATTTACAAGCCCTGGCACCTCCTGTGCATTTATAAGGCTCGGCGGCGGCATCATGTTTAAGTCAAAGGAGGTGTTGAGTAAGTGCTTGGCAAGTGGGTGAATAAAAGAACCACCCAACTAGTGAATGAATTGCCCACTGTTCTGGAGACAAACCACATGAGTAGTGAGTACTGCCCAGTTAATGGCCATATTAATCATGTGGTTGGTTGAGTCTAAAAAACTGACAGAGTATCTAAAAAAAATCACCAAAGCCTTCCTGGAGGAGGCAGTGCCTTCCAGGGCTGAGACTTAAAGGCAGGTGCAATAGCTGGGGTATGTTTCAGGTGGAAGCAAACAAAATGCTCTGTGTTTGCGTGCTGTGGTCCAAGATGTCACAGTCACCTCCTTTGAGGACAGGACCACACTGGAAATACACTGAGACTACATATGTTTTCTTCCCTGGCCTGAGGAGCATGTCTCTCATCCAGCCTTGGTACCCAGAGGTCCCCAGGATGCTTGCCCATCCACTCCTCCCCCCTTCCTGTTATCAGCTGAAGATGAAGTCCACACAGCTCTCTGTCAGCTGCAGCCCAAACCATTCCCTTGTAGGGCAAAGGCTCGCTCTGCTTTTGAGCAATATTTCATAATTTATATATTTGATGAAGCTCTGGAGCCTGTGCCAGCAGCCTGCACAATCTAACATCCTGAGATCATTAGTTATGCATGTCACTTCTCTATTTTAAAACTCTCCATATTTGAACTTAGGGAAGTCTGTCTTTCCTGTCTATTAGAGTTTTCCCACAAAACAGCTTAGTAAGTATCCATCATGTCTCATAGCCGAAAAAGAAGGGCCAGGGACACTGTGAAATCCTTTTAGATATTTACTTCAGGGATTACCATTTTATTTAGGCCTTTAAAAACATTTGTCTTATCTTGCCAGTAATTAAAATATCAAGACAAATGAGATTTTTAGTAGTATTCTAATTACTTCAAGATGAGCACTGGGACTTGGCTTCCAGCCTGGGTGCATGCTGCAGCTTCCCCAGGCCTCCTGTGAGCCTCATTCCTTGATCCTGGGACTCACCCTCTGTCTCTTGGCTCCCTTGAGGTGCTCTTCTCCCAGGGTCGTTTGCTCTGACTTCAATGTGCCGTGTTCCTATTGTTTTATTTATGTGCACTGCCTTCTGGTACTTTGGCAAGTGGAGTCGGCTCTAATTCACCGGGGTGGGGGTTCTTTCTCATCATTGCCTCTAGCAGGGCCCCTGTCTTCAAAAGGAACCCAGTTTCATGTCACTTGGATGGCAGATGGTTTTCTTTCTTTCTTCTCCCTCCTCCCCGCCAGGCCTTTCTTCTTGGAGATAGCTGTTCCTCTCTGTCTTTACTGACCAAGGCTCTCAGGATGCTGGACTAGCCTCAGACTACTTATGTAACTGAGGATGACTTTGGAGTCCTTCTGCCACCACCTCTGAATGCTAGGGTTACCGGCATGTGCCATCCCATCTGTTTTGTGAGGTGCTGAGAACTGTTTAACAGGCCTTTGTGCATGCTAGGCCTGCTCTCTATCAACTCAGCTTCATCCCAGCTGCTGTAGCTGTCTTTACTGATCTTCCCCTCCCCTTCCCCATTAGAGACTGGCCTCCTGGTGATGATGAGACACTGTTAGTCAGAGTACCATAGGGCTCTGCTCACAGGAATTGGTTGAGGGGTAAACATATAAGCTGCAATAGTGGGTGACCAAAGCCATTCCTAGAAAGCCCTAGAAAGAGACAGACTCCTACACATATAGACTCATTGTGATTATGTTTACCCTCTATTACCTTCCATTTGCACTGGGCATTGGTTCCAAGGAGGACCATGAGTCTGTATGGTACTGGCAGCCATGTTTGCTACACTCTGGGTGAACCTGATGGAGAAGAGCGGAGGCAATGCGGAGGAAAACCATGATAAACAAAAGGGAGAGGTGCAGGAAAGAAGCTGAACTAAGCTTGAAACCTGAGCTCCTGAGTCCAGTTGTTCCTAAAGCTGGACTTTCTCTTGAAGCCTGACTAGAAAATCAATTCTAGAATGTACATCCTTTCTCACCTTCTTTGTCTGTTTGTTATATTGACTTGAACTGGACCATCTTCTCTAATACCAGGAGAGCTATAAATAATATTTCTCTTGTCCATAAATCCAAATCCTCTTTGTCTATGAAGAACCAACATCATCTAAAACAGAACAAAGAAAAATAATGCCAGTGTCTGCAGTTCCTATTTCAGCAAAGCTAAGAGTTTGAGCACAGGATCACTTTCCATCTGGCTAGCAGAATAGGACCCATTGTATACATTGGCTGAAACAAAACAAAACCAACCAATTAGCCAACCCACCTACCAACCAACAAACCAACCTACCTGCCTACCTACCTACCTTCCTACCTAACAAACAAACAAACAAACAAACAAACAAACAAACAAACAAACAAATGCCACAGGGACTCCCCAGTACCCGGCAGCACCTGCAGTCTTGGCTTGTGAGAAGAAGATGGCTGTGACTGCCCATCCCCATGGCACTAGATGACCTTGATATTCTCAGAACCTTCTCATGCTGGAAGCCAAGGTTTTGGAGAACAAGTGAGATGGCCCAGGGAGTGTCTCTCTCAGTCTCACTCTTGCTTGTGTACCCATGGGGCAGATTTGGTGAGAAATTGGGAGGACCCTCAGGACAGTGGATTTTAGATAGCCCTCCTACAAGGAAGGATGTGAGGTCACAGCATGTGAGGTCACAGAGGTACTGACTAACTTTCAGGAGCTATTTACACTGTATGCATGCATACAGTGCCATGAGGTTTCAGGTGACAATAGGCAGCCTAGGGTGCTGTTCTCTTCAGATCATTTCACTCTTACAATTGCTGTTTTAGCCTTTGTGTCTGCCTTATTTATTTGTACAAGGTCTCACTCTGGTGGTCCATCTATTGTTGCACCTTCCTGTCTTCTTGTTTCAAACCTCCAAGTGTTCAGGTGTCAGGCATGTGCTCCCACTCCCAGCAGCCTTTGCACTTTGTTCTCTTCATGTTTTGACAGACTCCTACATATATAGATGCACTGTGTGGTTATGTTCACCCTCTATTACCTTCTCATATCTGCCTTTCCTGCCTGTTCTGTGGCCTATGTTTTTTTTTTTAACCTGGTCCCTCTGTGGCTATGCCATTAGGAAAAAGGACACCTCCTCTTCCAACCATGATTAACAGTCATTAGATGCTTCAGAAGGTCTTGGGCTTCATGGGTACTTCCTTCATTCATGGCAGGAAGTTGGAGGGCACAATCCATAGCTGCTATCTATAGGTATACATATCTGCTATGTGTTCTTGGCCTCAGGAGTTGGAATAGTCATCTTCCCTAGGGACACCTTAGTAGCACAAAGTATCAAGCATTCCTGGTGAAATTGGTGTCAAAATCATATGTAAACTCATTGTTTCCTACACTGAAAGATTAATTAAGAAATCTCTACTGGGGACTGGAGAGATAATTCAGTAGTTAAAAGTACTTTCTGGCCTTGTAGAAGGCCAGTATTTGGATCCCAGTACCCACATTGGGCAGCTCACAACTGTCTATAACTAAATCTCCAAGAGTTCTGATGCTCCCTTCTGGCCTCCATGAGTACCTGTACCAATGTGCGCATACTCATGCATAGACCCACACATATACACTATCAAGTACCCAATTCTATTGCATTATCAGTCATTAAAGCAACCACATGCCTTTTGTACAGTACCTAATACTAGATAATGATAATAAATCACTGGTCTGTAAGTTTAGTGCACTGGACTTAATGATCATTAGTGTGCATTCCTTATACAAGTTCATCATGAAATGACAGCCACATGCACCTGCAGCAGCCTCAACATCTGCTTTTCTGACTCTTGTTTGCAATGGGAAGCCACACTCAGTGTGTGAAGAGCACCATCTAGGTCTGGTGCATCCTCTCCATGATGTTCCAGGACTGATACATTTCAGAGAAAGTTTCCTGGTAACCAAATGACTCATGCCAGTATCAAAACCTCATGTTGAGCATCATCAACATTTTAAAATCTATCACTCAAACAATTCAAATGAGCTGGAAGAAATAATGGCTTCAGAAATGTACGGTCAGGTAAGTAAATTGATGTGTGACCCTGGACTGCACTTTTGTTTTAGAAGTCATTTATCGTGAGCATTGGTGATACTGGGTTAGGTCTGAGGAGTCTAAGGTCGCACTGCTTGTGCATTCCTTTCCTGATTTTGATGGCTGTGCAGTGGCTTGTGGATAAGAACATCCTTGTCAGATGCCATATGCTAACATTTCATGGGAGGCTGGGGGTGTGATACAGTGGTAAACTTGCTTAACCTGTGGAGGCCCTGGCTCCATCTCTGGTAAGGTGAAGAAGGTTCAGGGGTGGTGAGGCCTGATGTCTGAAAAGCTCTTCAGCAATTCTTCATTCTCTTCTTGGCACTTTTCAAGTAAGTTTGAAGTTCTATCATCAGAAAAAGAAAGCAAAAGCTGAATTCCCCAAAGAGGCTCTCTATTTATCAGGGAAGTCAATAAGCACCTTGGTAGAGACACCACAGCCGGCACCAAGCCCTTTCTCTCCCTGGAACAAGGCTGTGAGAGCCAGGTTTTTTTTTTTTTTTTTGTCTCAGGAAGTCCCCCCCCCCCCAAGTAGGAAGTGGTGCAGCCTGGGAATGGTACATAGCCAACAATGTCTGCTTCAGTCTGAAATCTGTATCTGTGATCTTGATCAGCAGGAACACGATGCCATTAGCGAAGGGAACCACACCAGACACTGGGCTATTTGTGCTTTCTGTTCCGTGCCAGGCCTTGTACAGAGGGTGAGGGAAACCGTGATGGTGAGATTATTGTAAGGAAGACCATGGCTCATTCCCCACTGCAAACATTTATCAAAATGTCACATTTTGTTCCCCATAAAAATGCACAATGATTATTTGTTCATTAAGAATAAAAGAAGAAAGAAAGAAGTTTGTAAATGGAGCTTTTCACCAACAAATAATTGCAGTGTGATAAGAGTGCTAGAATGCTGTTAGCCTGGGGCTTACTGAGTGCACAGATCAAGGAGCCTAGAAAATGTAGTGATGAAGTTGGCATCCACAGTCTGTGCTGATTCAGGGATAATAGCATGCAACAAATGACATTGGGCATTGCAAGCGTGTGTCCTTCTGATGCTGGTACAGTGCCCCTCAGCTCCAGGTCCTCTTGGAAAACACAGCAGTTAAGCATAACTAAGAAACCTGATCACAAAACAAAGAAATGTCAACTTCTTTGTGAGAATCAGAGAGCTCCTGATTGTTCTTGAAGGAGAGAAGGCACAGGGGAAGGGTGTGTGTGTGTGTGTGTGTGTGTGTGTGTGTGTGTGTGTGTGTGTGTAGCTTGTCTGGAAGCAGTGTAGAGATACTAAGGTCCTGCCAGGGAGAACATGGAAAAGCATTGTATGTCTGCTAGAATATGTGCCAGGCAGGATATGACATCAGAGATGATGGGGAAGGATGATGGAGTGATAATGGACTGAGTGGCCCACTGGAAAGAGAGGGGGATCTCCAAGAGTGGACTCAGGCACAGGGTTATTGATGGACAGGGGTATGCTCCAGGAAGGTCTACTTGGTGGTCACCTGGTATGCAGAGGCAATCTGATCACGTTGAGGTTTCAACAGGACAGATCATGCATCTTGTCATCTCCCTGTCCAGCTGTCATCAACTCCAGCTTGAGTCTGTTTGAATGCTCACACAGTACCTGTGCCAGGGTCTCAGCTTTTGTGTTGTCCACAAGGGAGGAGCAGGCTGGCCTTGTCCACTTTTGTGCCTCAAGGCCACCCTCCTCACTCCGTTCTGTGCTCCTGTCACACAATGTATAACAGTCCTGTCTGTCTATGCTTCATATTCATCCCTATATCTCCAACACTAAAAACTGGGCATTGACTAGATGGACAGGCTTCTTCCACAGGGGCTTTGTAATGGGTATCCACATATATACCGTTAACCCTTGATCCTTCCCTCTTTGTCAGATCAGGGTCCACTCATGCCAGGTCAGCTGTCAGTGTCTCAGGGGCACTTTTTTTTTCATTCTTGACTAGTCTCTTTTTGGTGAATCTTCCTTTTATAGCACCAACAGTAATTGTAGTTTCACATTGACCTATAGATGTGTTTTCCTGAAGCTGGTCTCTATAATCTGTAAAATTCATGGAAGAAGTGGTCATTGTTTTTTTGGGGGGGAAGTATCCCCTGTACAGAGCACAAGGACTGAACACTGTAGTGTATATTGGACATTTCTAGGTTGGGTGGCTGGCTAGCTGGCTGACTGGTTGGCTAGATGGATGGCTGAGTAGATGGCTGGCTGGCTAGGCAGATGGATGGGTGGATTGGTAGATGGATATATGACTACTCCACTGGTACTTCAGGGAAGTACCTGAGAAATGGATAATGTTCCAGGAGCATCTTGTAGGGCATGTGAACTTGCAATTGATAATAGACTTGACCTTCAGGTAACCAAGAAAGAGCAGAAGCATTGGGGTAGTGGGTGGAGTTTGTACCTATGTAAGAGAAAGAGGGAAGTTCTGAGTTCTGAGACTGGAGACAGATGGACCATGCTTTGGAAGGTTTCAAATGCTAGAGTTGAAGTCTGGTTCCTAAGTTGACAGGCACTGAGGCGCTGTGGGAATTGATTGAGGGCAAAGAGGTGCTTAGAACTTGTCTTTGAGACAGCCCAATAATGGTCAAACCAAGGGGGGTGGGGTGGGAGAGATGCACCAGAGGCTGATACCCACCACTGGAGGAGAAATCACAATGTTTCATCAGGCTTGTAAAGCACATAAATGGAGCTGAGGCAGATAAGAGAGTCAGAGCAACAGATGGGAAATTTTAAGAAGAGCAGTGATGACTGCAACATGCGCTCCTGGGACCAGTGTCTTTTTCATCCTTGTCTATCTGGTAGAGAAAGAAGTGGTACTTAGAAATTGTGGAAAGGAAATAAATTTGAGGACTGAAAATACTCAGACCATAAAAGGGAGATAAAATCATGCCCCCCTCCACTTTGTATTTGGCTCACCAAATGTTCAGTTGGCAACATATGACAATTGAGAGATTCCTCATAAAAAATGCCATAGTTTTAAAGATTTATGTTGATTGGGCACCACATCCCATCCACTGGGTGAGCCTAGGTACCTTGGGCAGCTCCCAGCACTCTGCCAGGTCTTGCTCCCAGGCAGGCTCACTCGTGACCTGCCTAGATGCTAAGGACAGCTGAGTTGGGCCCTTAGCTCCAAAGAACATCATCAGCTCCAGTAACTTGCATGCCTGAAAGGAATGAGAATGTTCTACAAGCAATTCTTGTCTCTCTCTCTGTATATCAGACTATTAAACAAGGCACCCCAGGAGATTGGAATTTCCTCCCAGGAATCTTATCCTGGGAGAAGGAAAAGGCTGAATGAAGCCTGATGCCAGCCAGGGAGGGATTCTGTCACCCGGAAAGGTTTCCTATAGTTCAGACAAGCTGGCTTGACCTATGGCAGAGTCATTGAAGATGCAACAATGGATGGGGCCATATCTTGGCCAGGGCTGCTTAGTCATGCACACTTCTTGCGTCCTATTTAAGCCCAAGCCTCTTGTAAGTACCCCAAATATGGATTTTTTTTTTGTGTGTGTATGGCGGCGGCGGGTTGCCAGATCTCTTTGTCCCTTTTCCATGTGTGGCCAA